ACTCATCCATATCATCGTTCACTAAAAAGGAAAGAGTTTTAAACTTTTTCCCAAACCCCGAACAACCACCCCTCGTTGACGCCTTCAACGACCGTCTATGGCGTCCGACACTCCAAACGACGACACGAAAATGGGCCTCTCGCCTCCTAAAGTGCACCCTAGCCACCTAGATCTACCAAAGGGATTCGAAAAAAAATACCACTTTTAGATGGCTTCAACCTATCTCCGATGGTCGGACGACGAGTTCTCTTTTTTCTGGTTTCTTCTTTTTAGCTGTGGGTTCTCCTCCTTTCTTTCTCCCTTGCATGCCCGATTTATGGTCCTTTTTTATGATAACAGTAGGCTCATTTTTTAGGGGAATGATTTCCTTAGGATTGTATAGATAAAATCCCCATTTTTTTGGGATTTAACCCAATTTTTAAGGGGTTTTTGGTTTCCTTGGTTTTTGACTGATTTGATTTAGTTGATTTTTTCACTGTTCGGCCAGATTTGCTGACGGTGGCAGTTTGGGAGTCATCGGTGGCGGCTCACGCGGTTGGGGAACCGAAGAGTCAGGCGCGTGCATCACATGCGCCAGTCGGACGGTCGATTCTTTGTTGGTGGCAGCGGCAGTTGTTGAGATGTATTAGGGTGAAACCCTACTTTGAGTGAATATGGGTCATTGATCTCCCACTAGATCCGACGATGGAGATTAGAAGGTTACCTCAACATATAATGAAACCATAATTTGTTTTGGGCTTTCATCCTTAGGCCTGCTGGATAACATGTATTGGGCTTGAGGTGTTTGTATTTTGGGCTTATACATTGGATCTGTAAAATATAAAAGAATATTATATGTTAGTATATTTTATTTATAATAATAATAATAATAGTAATTAATGATAATAATAATAAATTAAAACCCGGATAAAAATGAGAGTCTACAAGGGATATTTGTAATCTATTTTTATTATTTAAAATAGTTACAAATATTGATTCTTAAAGTATTAAAATATAATTTATCATTAATATTTTAGTTTTCCTTTAACTAAATTTAAATAAAACATATATATTTTGTTGAAATACATAATATATAATTTAAATTATTTATTCTTAATTTAATATAGACTTAATTAACTTACAAATTAAAACCGGATTGAATAGAATAACCGACAATTGAACAAGTTATTATATCCGAATTTAATTCGATTCGAAAATGATACTAGGCAAACAGGAAGTTCCTCAAATGTTAGACATATTAAAAGCCCCATAACTAGCCAATAATGTCACCAACATATTCTTGAATGACTAATAATGTAAAAATGGAATAAAACTAAAAAAATATTTTAAAAGTCTTTTAAAATCGGTAAATAATGGTGTAGAAAACATTTCTAATCAAATAAAAACAAACAAATAAGAGAACAATATTTTAAAAATTACATCTATATATATATATATTCATTTTTATTATGTAGAATAAAGATCTAACAGAAAAAATCACATAATGATAAGTATTACTGCAATTATCCCTAATTATATAAGGAATAATTTTAATATAGTCTCGAATATATTTTTACATCTTAAATTTGAATTTGACATGACCACATCCTTTTAAAAACCTTATTTGACCTCGAATTTTTAAAAAAGAAATTGATTTGATCAAATCATGTTTGATCGAAATTCGTCAAATACAAGTCAAATGTTGATCCCTAGTTGTAGTGTGATTTGTGATACTCGGAGTTTTGATATATATATATCGATTTTTAGGTCACATAAGGTATCATGTATTTGTACCCTATGTGATCTTTACATTTATAGTGACTAATATTTTTCTCATCGTTAAAAATAGGCAAGGTTGAAACATGTTAAATCCCACCTCTTGTGTGTAATTTTTTCTATGTTGATATCGTTTTAATTATTTTTTCACTCACAAATTCCTAACAAGTGATATCATAGTCATTGCTATAGTTATAAAGTTTCAAAAGAATTTGTTACAAATATTTTTTTTAGAGATATTGGATACAAGCAAGACAAATTTTATTACAATTTTTTAGTTGTAACTTACTAATCCAATTCGACCTGAAGGTTATCAAATTACAATGTCACATGGAACCACGTGAATGGCTAACCTTTTTTTAAAACGTTTCATGAAGGTATCATCCATAAAATTTAATTATCAAACAAATACGAAATATAAATGTTTAATATGGGGGAGCTCCCGACATAAGTCTCCAAAATATATCATTAATTTAAAGTACATAGTTTACAACTCAAGATACAATAAGGGTCTATGACAGTACATGCCTTTTAAAACTCTCGAAACGTACTCTGAAGAAATCAAGTCTGGAATCCATGTCAGACAAAGAGCTCCCCAACTGCCACCTACTGACATGCACAGGGAAACATATTCCATATGTTGAGCTCACAAGCTCATTGCCACAAAAAATAATCAAGCTATACTACATGCATCCAATATATAATCATGATACAATATAGTCATGAGCAATGCAAAACTCAAGGAAACAATAAGTATCATAGTTTAGTTTAGGGTCACCTAACATCACGGAACTCACACCACTCTTTACTTACAACACTTAAGGAAGACCTGGGTCACACAACATCAGTGTCTCCTTAACACTCGGGTCAAGTCCGGGTCAAAAAGCATCGACACTTGCCCGGCTAGCCTACCCCTCAAGAGTACTCGGGATGTGCCCGGGTCACGTAGCATCGACACGATATCCAACTAGCCTTTTAAGTGCCCAAGCACTAGATTGGATATATCCGGATATTTTATACACGTTACACTCACGTTGTTAAATGACTTGAGTACCTCGTTGTTTCCTCGAGTATCAAACAAGGTTAGTTTTATGTCACTTTATTTCATAGCAATATTAGTCGAGCTTGATCATTATTATTAGTTTCTAGATTTAGGGTTTAAGTAATTAGGTAAATCAATCAATGGACCAAACTGAACTCATTCAAACATTCTAAGGCCAAGACAACATTTCATAACACTTTAGACCTCTATTGAATTAAATTCTACCATTTTCCATCGGTAAAACAACGAAGGGATCAGTCATTTTCCCCGAGGGATCAATCATATGCACAACAGAAAGTTTGAGATCGATCTTTTTTCTTAAGGGATCGATCCTTTGCTGGACAGAAACTTTGGGATTAATCCCTTTGGTCGATGGATCAATCCTTTTTCTGGGAATGACTTACTTAAGCTCGGGAAACACCCAAAAATCAACCCAACAATTCCCCTAAGACTAGAAAACATGTTTAACGTCTTATTTAGTGTCTTAGAAGTCAAAAGGGTACTAATTTTCATGCTTGCAACACACAAATACGAATCTTGCCATGGAAATTACTCTAGCATGCTTCATGAACTAAACAAACCATAATGCACATACAAAGAACTACATGTGGTATGGACAAGTCAAAATTGTGTTCCCTCACTCATAAGAGTTGTAAAAACGACCTCAAAATCACCCGAGCACTTTCTTCCCCTTGTGTTTGCCCTTGGAGCTTTCCCCTTCTTCTCTCACTAGAACACATCAAAGAAGTGAGTTATAAACTCATTTAAGGGTCTAAGAAGGTTGGAGATAGGGTCTTTAAGCTTCCAAAATGGATTTGGAGTCCTAAGGGGTTCTAGAACTCAAAACCCCACTCAACTCTCACTCAAGCTTCCATGGCCGAATTACCAAGTTGAGGGCTCAAAATGAAGTTCTTGGAAAGGTGATTTTGAATTTTACCTTCACAATTTTCAGAGTGGAGATGTTGAGCAACAAGTTCCTTATTTTAGTCAACAAATCTTATGTGATTTTATTTTTGGTGAAAATATTTGACTCTATAAATAGGGAGTGTATCTTAACCTTTAGAATTATGAGAGAGAATTATTTAAAGAGATGTTATACTTTTGTATTCCTTACAATTTTTAGGGTTTATATAGTAGAGATTAATATTATAGAAATGTTGAAAAGTAATGTGTGATACTCCGAGTTTTGGTATTGATATCCATTTTTAGGATACATGAGATATCATTTATTTGTATCATTCGTGATCTCTATGTTTATAGTGAATTCTTCTTCCTTTCATTCGTAGAGGTAAACAAGACTGAATTACATTAAATTTCGTCTCTTGTGTGTGATCTATTCTATGTTGATTTCGCATTAGTTATTTTTCCGCTCACAAATCATTACCACTAATTATGTTCTTTCTATTCTAATCGAATAGTCTAACTGGATACTTCAATTACACATAAATACCAATGATTATCCAAACATATCCCAATTATATAATTACACCGAACTATAACAAGTTTATGTGTGCGTGCTAAACACGAAATAAAATAATCAATACAATACACATATATATTTCATTTTTCGATTAATTGTGTGCGTTGCACTAATACATGTGTATGGAATGCTATTTCTTTAAATTAAGTTAAAAATTAACTGTTTCTGGTGTAGCAAATATTCAACAAGTTGATTGGACAATGATAGGCAAGTAAAATTAAAAAAATAAATTAAAAATATTTTAGAAGGGAGTTCATATATACCTTCCATATAAAGAGGCCATTTCTCATGTGTATGTATATATAAGAGGTTTTCCTTCCCTTTCTAATCACAAATATTTCAGAGCAGCAAAACATCTTAGGCTTCCTTGTAAGTCTCTCTCTTTTATATTATTATTATTATTATTTTGTCTTTTCTTGTCTCCTCCCTCCCTCCATCTCTTGTGCATGTAAAGAGTAGGAGCTCATCCTAGTTATTGATTTTATATACTTTTTTTTCTTTGAAGCGAGAGTCATTGATCGAGATCAGATCATAAGATCGGTTTTATATTATAAAACTCATTTTCAAATCGATATTTTTTTACTGTTATTTTTTTTATTGTTATCATTATCTCATAAAAGGAACGACCAATCCCCGCATGTCTCTCTCTTTTACTATCTAATTATTTGGTTTTTAATACAGTGTTGTTTTTATTTTTTGTTCAGAAGAAAAAACAGTGAATCCATGGATAACTCAAGGTCGTTCAGTCGAGCAGCTAGTGAAATGAACCAGCAAAACAACAGCAACAACAGGGTTGATCTCTCTCTCACCTTGGGTCTGCCTTTGTCTGGTCAAAACGCAACAATTTATCAGGTTATTCACCACTCCTCTCCTATAGATTATCGAAAAGTTTGTTGTAGTCTTTTTGTGTGTTAATTTCATGTATGGTATTACAAAGGTTACAAGGCTTTTCATAATACAAAATAAATTATTTTATTATTTAAAAATAAATGGTGTATTTTTTTATTTGTTCTTGTCAGCATTTTATATAAAAATCATTAAGTATATATGGTATTCTAATAATTTTTAATATTATTATTTTATGTCAATTTCATAAAAATAGAAATGCCAACGAAGCTTAACGGTTTTATTATTAATTATTATTTTTTTGAATAAATAAGGAAATAATGAAATCTACGCTGGATATATATCTTTTTTGTCATCTCGTTAATAACGTGACAGACTAATAACTATTATAATAATAATAATAATTTTATTGCTCGTTACAATTTTCAACGTAAAATAATAAAATTATTTCAATTTAGCCATCAATTTTATACGTTGATATCATATTGATTGAGCGAGTAAACAAGTAAAAATGTGTTTGGTAGTCAAGGATCAAGAGAAAAATGGAGGAAAGAAAGAAAATATTTCAGAAAAATCTCATATGCACTTGAGCTTTGATTAACTAATTGTCCTTTAATTTCTATTTATCCTTTTACATTGTTAATTTGTCTGTGATTCAGCAAGGACTGATTAACCAAGGAGCAACCGTTGAAAGTCAACAAAGCTTCAATGGCGGTCAAGCCCGATTTGCATGGCCATCGGGTCAACTTGGTGGCGGTGTCCATAACATGAATTATGCAAACGCATTTAACCCTTTTTCGGACCCTTCTATAGGGTTTCCTTCTTATGGCACCACCGATTCTTCCTCCTACAATTTCACCCCCACTCGTCCTCTTCCTCCGCATGAGGTGCCTCCGAATACCTACACGCTGATCGATGTCCCTCCAAGGAGAGCCGCCGCAAATCAGCACCATCTCGAGATCGGGAACTCCTCTGCCTCGGGCTCGGGCGGGCACGTCCCATGGCGTTTTGGCACCTACAATGACCCCTTCAAGCGATGCACCAACTACAACTGCAACACCAATGATACTCCTATGTGGCGCAAAGGACCTCTCGGCCCCAAGGTACACATACATACATACATTTCCTAATTTATACATCTTTATCAGAAATTAGACAAACCCTGATTTATAATAAAACCATAGGATAAACAAAGTACATTCATTATTGGTAGTTAGATTTAGTAATATCGAAAGTCATGATCATTTAAAAGATCTTCAATTCCTACAAATGAACTTTACTTTTCTTATTTAAGTTTGTTTATTATCCATCTAATTCAATTGTAGTGAACTCGTAGTGTGCATCAATGCATGGTGGAACTTTGAATAACTTGTCAACTTTTATCCATATGGAGTATTTTTCTTATGCTTTTATTTTTATTGAAGACTCTCTGCAATGCCTGTGGTATCAAGTACAGGAAAGAAGAGGAGAAAAAAAAAAGGGAAAGAAGCCAAAAGTAGAGGCCGACGGTCCAACCCTGAGGAATAGAGGTAGAGGCTGACAGTCCAACCCTAATGGATAGAGGTAGAGGCAGACAGATAGACCAACCCTAATGGATAATTAATAATACAATAAAATTGATAGTTCCTTTTTGTTTTGAAACTTTCTCTCTCTCTTTCCGTTGGGATGGAAACATTTTATTGAGATATCAATATGCTAGCAACTTTATTTGGTTATTTTAGTTTACTCTAAGAATATATATATGAACGCATATGGAAGATAATATTATGCATGCGCCATGCATCCGGTGCTGTACCAGCCAACGAATCACCTCTCTAAGCGCGAGAGCATCATCTACCCTTGGCGAGAAGAAACCAGCAACAGCAGCACCCCGGAAAATCACCATCAATAAAGATGACATTAATAATATAAATATATAATAGTATAATACTTCTAATAGTTTACCATATGAATAGCTATTTACAATGTTTGAGGCGATTTTTTAAACGTTCGTAAAATTGAAACTGTTATTTATAAAGTACAAAATGTATCGATTTTTTTGATAAAAAATATTATTTTTTTTAAATTTTTGTATTATTAAGATATATATATATATATTAAAAGATGTCAACGAAAATCTTCAATTAATAATTAAAGTTATACATTCTTAAGAATGATATAAACTAGGGATGGGCATGAGTAGGTCAATCTGACTTGACCCAAAAATATATTCTCCACCCGAAACTTGATCCGACCCAAATCTAGGGGTGACTTCACCCAACCCGAACCTGATTTAATTTTTTGATGTAAAATCCGACCTCGACTCGACCTGAAATAAATAAATAAATAAATATATATTTTTTATTCAATAAAAATAGGGGTCTAATTGAAACAATATAGATAGGGTTATTATGACAATTATCCCTAAATATATAAGGTACGTTTAAAATATTTTTTGGGTCAAGTCGGGTTAGATATTTTTCACTCAAACCCAAACTTGACTGAACATATCCTCTGAAAAAATTTACAACCCAAACCCAAAATTTTTCTAAAAGAATCCGACTCGATCATGTTGGGTCGGATTGGAACACATCGAATTAGGAACCGTGCCCATCCCTAATATAAACTTAGCTTGTGTTAAAAGCTCTTACATGCAAAAGAAATCTTGATTAGAAGTACATTTGATCAATATATAGCTTGTGATTTAATAAAAAGAAAACAGACGGGTTTACTTAATTTTAATTTATTAAAGTTGCACGAATTAAATTATTTTAATGGTTAAAAGAATCATTATTATTTCTAGAAACCACGTATTTGAGCACTAATAATTATAAGTATGATTTAACGTTCTTTGTTAAACGGTTAAAAATTATTGGAACAAATACTACTTTGTAATCACCAAATATACATGGCTCGACGACATAATTTTCTTCATAATAATGAGTTGTAAGATTTGATTATAAATCAAGGCATACAAAATCATAATAATTAGGGTACCTCCAGAGCCCACTCCATAAATGCATACATTCATATCATCATTAAAATTTAAATAAAAGAAGAAAAACCGTAGAAGAACATTCTTGCACTCCAAGCCAACATTTAAAATCAGTTCATGAACCATTGCGCTGGCTTGCTTGATCTGATCAAATGTTCCTTCCAGCTCAATGTTCCTTGAACTAGGATCTGACTCATTCTCCCTTATGCAAAGCTTGGCTCCTGTAACCCGACAGATGCTCCATCCTGCCGGCCATCCTTCCAGGCATGGCTCCCATGGAACGAGGTTCCTCATAAGCAGGACCAGCCCGCTTGCCAAGCTCCCACTCGCCATGAGAAAAATGGCATTTATCAACAAACTTGCAAGCTTCAGGCGTGCTGAATTTGCTGCACAAACGGGTCTTTACAGCTGGAGGAGATGAGCCATCAGGGAAGGATGGTTGGGCTACTAATTTTCTGGCAGCTACAGGAAGAGTCGGGTAGTTACCAAGCATCTGAGACACTGCTGATGCCACCCGGAACGTAATGCAAGAAGTGACAGCTCTCACCAAATTGGCACCCAGAAGTGCTGTGAATTAAACAAAATTCAAGAATGTAAAGCTAATATCAATGAACTACTGTTGTGCTAATGCTATAATACATGTACTAGTTCAGTCTATGAGATATAATTAGGAATTTATCCAAGCTCTCCATGCATACACCAGCTGATGCAATGCTACGAGATAAGTGTTACTGCATGTAACATCAGGAATTACAACAGCAATCTTCTGCATTTTGAATAACAAGCACCGAGAACATGACACAACCCTTTATTGTTGTTCAGAACCAAGCATCAGCAGTTCTGTATCATTTCTCAAGCATCTTCATGTGATAAAAATATGAGGAATTTTCAACCAAAACATACTCAGAAAACTGTTAATATGCACTCTCTTTCTGTTTAATATAGTCCATCATGTAGCTAGTCCAAGAATTCACCAAGAAACCAACCATTTTATCCCATAGTCTTTCTTATCATGATTAGAGCCAAGAGCGTTACCTGTATAATCATCACTTTAAGTGACCAATTAATTAGTCATAATCGCATAATGTTTACTTCAGACGGTTCACGGTTGTCGTCAGAGGAAAAGTTTACTTGGAACTTATAAAATTAGAGAAGATGGAAGTGCATCAGGCTATTTATTTTGGATAGGTTAAGATTTGAACCTGAAAAACTTTGTGCTTGGCTTTGATTTGCTTCCTATACCAGTTGGAAAGGACTCCATTTCTGTTGCAGAACATTAATTAATTTATCTCAGTTATAAGTTCAGAGAGTAATTCATTTTTTAACTTTACAAAGTATTTAGTACCCTATTACCATTTCTTATCAGTACTATAAAAGAAAATACAAAGATGTATATGACAAACAAGACTATAAAATTGCAATAGTACAATATATATAAGCACTGGATTCACAAACAAAGTAAGACATCACTTATAATGATGTAAAAAAGCTTAACCATAATGAAATAAGGATCAATGTACTATACATTCAATCTTTTACCCAGAAAATAGAATGATATAGGAACAAGAGACGGAGCAAAGAAAACATCACCATCACCAATATAAACCTATCTATGCAACAACACTATGATACAAATAGCGATAACGCAAAAGAACAATCACATGCAAACTCACTACTGTTTAAGCTCAGGAAATCCAACTAGGTGGGATAAGAAACACAATGGGGCGTGGACAATAGCATACTAATTGGCAAAGGATTCAAAATGTCTACAAGCAAGTTTAATTAGTCACTAGAACCATAAATATCTAAAGCATATTAAACGAATGTGACAATCAACAACCCAATTGCAGAGTAATTAATTCCATGTTCAAAGCAATGGATAATTGCATTACCAAAAAGGGGGTTTACACTTCTACTAAATGCCAAATAATTTGCTACCTTAACACTTCTACATTGATTTCTAAAACTCCACGCAGCAAGCATAAAGCTGCTTGTAGAGTTTCAAAACTCCACAATTGTGTGTATGTGATCGAATGTGACATAAATAAGCAAAAATCAAAACTCAAATGTCCTCTTTTCACTTTTGTTCTTTATAAGCTATTTTGCCCTTTCCCCTGTCATTAAAGTTTCCATAGTTATATTAAACTAGAGCATAAATCAGTCAATTGAGGGTAAGGTCTGATTATCTATGAGCAAATTTATCATATATATAATGACTTCTGGTCATCTCTCCATTTTAATGGGAGCCATGATCAATCCTTTCTTCTAGGGAATGGAGAATGGCAAGTGGGCTCCAGCCTGGAATGCTTAGTACAAGTCAGCCTATTCTTGATCCTGTACCTAGTCCTACAGTATCAGGATCACGCAAGAAGTTAAAAACATCAGCTTCATTTTCCATGGGCGAACCATCTCCTGCTTGCATCCATCGATGCAAAAACCATCTTCATTGGCCTCTAGACGAGTTCCTCCACCAGTAGCAGAGAGCAAGTAGTCAAAATCTGTGAGTTAATTCATTGAAGATACATGGGAAGAATTAATGAATGTGATAATATTCTATTTCATCTTCTACTGATGTATGTTGTCTTGTTGCATCCCCAATAAAGATGACACAGAACCCTTCCGGAGGCCTTCCTGGAAGGTCCAAGGATTATAATTGTACTTCTTCAGGAGCCTTTGCAACAAATGGACCTGCTGAAGCAGCACCGTATGACCCATTAATTGGAAAGAAAGTTTGGACAAGGTGGCCTGAAGATAACCACTTCTATGAGGCTGTTATAACAGACTATAACCGGGTTGAGGTATATTCTTCAGTTAATTATAAAGTAAGCTGTTAATAATGGAGCTGTAATACTATGTTTTCATATTGTAGGGGAGGGTTTAAGATATAAATACGGCAGATGAAGCCCGGGAATGGGTCAACCTCAAAGAGGTAGAACTGTTGCATTTTACTGCTAATTTCTTACATCATTTTTTTCCTTTACTTTGGACGGTCTGATTTACCTTCCATCACTAGATTTTATACAATTTTTAAGAAATCAACTTTTAAGCTTGTAGCATATGCTTCTTGGGGACTTTTATGCCATTCATCATACATTGCAGAATTCATGTGCATGGTCTTGAACCATATTTTTCCCAGATGGGGTTTACATCTCATAGGGTTACAGTAAATTGCTATGCACAGCCAATGATTATTATTATTATTATCATGAATTTTCAGGCAGTTTACGTTTGGAAATAATCAAATTTAGGAGGTTCCCTATTTACTCTGATATGTTTAACATGACACAGATAATGTGATAGAGTAATATATTTCCACAATTGTTGATCAATATATAACTATTCAAGTTTTGTGTCTGTATATCTTGACAACTTTCTCCCACTACTAACATTCTCTTTCAAACTTGTAAGGTTATGCATCAATGATAGGGTCCATGTTTGTTACTCCGAAAGGGATAAATTTTTACCAACTCCGATTTGTTATGCATTTTGTTTTATTTTTTGGTAAAATACACGAAATATCCCTGA